GAGAAAAGAGAAGAGAAGAGAGAAGAGAAGAGAGAAGAGAAGAGAGAAGAGAAGAGAGAAGAGAGAAGAGAGAAGAGAGAAGAGAGAAGAGAGAAGAGAGAAGAGAAGAGAGGAGAAGAGAAGAGAGAAGAGAGAAGAGAGAAGAGAGAAGAGAATAGAGAAGAGAATAGAGAAGAGAATAGAGAAGATAATAGAGAGAGATAGAGAGAGATAGAGAGAAGATGCAAGATGTGAAGATGTGAAGGGTGAAGATGTGAAGATGTGAAGGTGTGAAGGTGTGAAGATGTAGTGAAAACGTATTATCTCAGCTTCTTTTTTTGGAAGAACCCTACGCTCAGGCGCCCTCGGAAAAAAAGGAGCAACATTTTGAAAAGATTTGAAAAGTCATTTCTCCCTTTGGGAGGTGCACCTTCCATATGAATCCACAAGCGGGTCATGAATCCTGGGTTCACAGTACCATCCAGCAATCTGGCCTGGCAACAAGAAACATTTTGTTCAAAAGGTGAATCATCTGAATTTCCACCGAAATATCCAACCAGCCATGTTTGATTGTTGGATGCTCCAGGTTAAGCATTTCAGAACATGTTGGCAAACCATTGAGAAAAAACCGTACCCAATGTACAAGTAGGGGAGACGACTGCCCCAAGAAGCGAAACACATCAAACCTGCTGCCTATTGGGTATCCCAACATCTTCGCTACGGACTTCGCAGGAGGCTTTTTCTCAATGTCATCCAGCAAGGGCTGCAGGAAGACAGTGCCCTCAATGGGGCCAAAGTTTCTTCAAGCAGGGCTGGGCTATTTTGTGTATTTGTTTGTGTCAAACAAAAATTACGGGTCAATTTTTGTCCAACTGTACAAGGTTTCGGGTTAAGCATTCAATTTCTTTCTTTGCGCAAGGACTTGACATGACTTGACTCACAGAAATACGGAGTCCATAGAGGCTAGGGAGGCCTTGCAGATTTCATGAGATGGGTGATGTGGTTGAGGTAGTCTTGGTAACGGGGCAACCCACCAGTTCGGTTGAAATGAAATGCACCTGTTTTAACCTTTGTAAGGGCCGTCAAAAACCTCAGTTCTCTGTCACTTTGGGCTGCACGGTCACCTGAGAAACCCCACTTCGTTCCTCAAGGTTGCGAATCCCACCAGGTTGTCCTGACGCCAAATGCATACCTCATGGTTGCCAAGAAAATGTGGGGAAAAATACCAAAATCCAAGGGTTATAATGGTTTTTATGAGTTACCCAAGATTATCCAAATTCAATGGGACATCATATCCAATATTATACATATTTATACACCAATATTTATATCCAATGGTTCTAATCATGAATGTTCCCTTTGAAAATTCTGTACATCAATTTGGCGTGCCCCATTTTCAGACACACCCAAAATGGTGCCACTGCTGCGATTCTCAAAGATTCCGCCCTCTCCTTTTGCGCTCTCAACTGCAATCGGAGAAGTCCTGGCACCAGCTGATTGAAAGTGGATAAACATGGATAAACCGGATAAACATCCACCTCTCCTATGTAGATCAGAGGTATCATGTCGGTCCATGGACCCATTGGACCATGGTCTCAGAAATGCAGGACATCCACTCAAAAGGAGAAATCTCTAATCTTCCTGCTAGCCACATGAATCGACATGATCTGTATCTTATATGGTTTTGCTTTCAGCCCGCATTTCAGTTTTCACACCCTCCGTGTCAGACTCCCAAGCCACCGAGTTCCAACCATCCATCACCATTAAATCACCATTAAATCACCATTAAATCACCATTAAATCACCATTAAATCACCATTAAATCACCATTAAATCACAATTAAATCACCATTAAACCACCATTAAATCACCATTAAACCACCATTAAATCACCATTAAATCACCATTAAATCACCATTAAATCACCATTAAATCACCATTAAATCACCATTAAATCACCATTAAATCACCATTAAATCACCATTAAATCACCATTAAATCACCATTAAATCACCATTAAATCACCATTAAATCACCATTAAATCACCATTAAATCACCATTAAATCACCATTAAATCACCATTAAATCATCATTAAATCACGATTAAATCACCATTAAACCACCATTAAATCACCATTAAATCACCATAAACACCATTAAATCACTATTAAATCACCATTAAATCACCATTCACCATTAAATCACCATTAAAAATCACCATTAAATCACCATTAAATCACCATTAAATCACCATTAAATCACCATTAAATCACGATTAAATCACCATTAAATCACCATTAAATCACCATTAAATTAAATCACCATTAAATCACCATTAAATCACCATTAAATCACCATTAAATCACCATTAAATCACCATTAAATCACCATTAAATCACCATTAAATCACCATCCTAAATCACCATTAAATCACCATTAAATCACCATTAAATCAATCACCATTAAATCACCATTAAATCACCATTAAATCACCATTAAATCACCATTAAATCACCATTAAATCACCATTAAACATTAAATCACCATTAAATCACCATTAAATCACCATTAAATCACCATTAAATCACCATTAAATCACCATTAAATCACCATTAAATCACCATTAAATCACCATTAAATCACCATTAAATCACCATTAAATTACCAAGTCATCAGCCTGCAGACTTCTCGAAGACCGGCGTGTCCACCGCCTCCAGCAGCTCACCCACATCCTCAGCACCCAATGGGAGATGAGGAAACAGCAACCGTTGCATGTCCATAGATCTGTACATATACAGTACTAATAAATAATAGTTAAAAAAATAATAACAACAATAATGATTATGATGACTATGGTTTTCATCATGGCTCTGTAAAAATGCATATTCATGTCTATATACATGTTTATTGTGTATTACATGACATGTGTTTATGTTTTCATGCGTAGACATGTATATAATGCATATGATGTATGTAAGGTATGTAATGTGAATGATGTATATAATTATATAATGTATATCACGTATATCATGTATATAAGTCAATAATGTATGTAAAGATTGCATGTGTGCATATATATATATAGTATTTATATATTGTATGTGTATAATGTATGTATATAATTATAGATCCATAGGTGTGTAGATGTATGTGTATGTGTATGTAGATTGGGGGTTGTTCCGAGTACCATAAATGCGGAGACTATAATCTGTAGAGAAAGAGGGACATAGGAATCAACGACCATGGGAGATGAATCGGACAATATTAAAATATGCATTTACGAGAATCTTGCAAAACCAAACAAAAATGAGATGTCAACTGATAACATCTAATAGCATTGGGACATTCATCAACAATGTACGGCAATATGAAGATATACGGTATACGATTAAGAATTATGGAAATGAACCATAACAATCGTCTCCCGTGCTTCTCAAAAAGTGATAACCAACGCCCAAACATATGGGACACGCGGCACAACCCAAACACGTGGCACCCGCTTTAGCGGCCAGTGCCACTAAAGAAGGGACAGATGGTCAGTACACTGTTCATCCTCCCATCCCTGGCCCTGGCTCACCATGTTTAGCTGGTTAAGCTCGTGTATCACCATCAAAATGGCAAACAATAAAACCAAAATATAAGCTACCCATGGTGATTGATTCCCCATTTGTCCAGATCAAACCCCCATCCCCATTATTTTTGCTTGATAGGCCCCCAAACCCCAGCTCAGCTGGTGAATATTGAGCCACTAAATGTCAAATTAAAAACAAAGCTTGCATTTTCTCATTTATCAAGAATGCCCATTTGATGGGGTACCCTGATTGTGGACAAACCGGGAAATTCCAAATAAAGTCCATTGCTGGCTAAATCACCATTTTGCTGTGTCTAATTGCACCGGCAAGAGACCCCAAACAGTGTGGGGGGGGTTGGAAGTCAATGTCCCTGAAACAAGCAACAGTAGCTATGGAACAGTAGCAGATCAGGTTAGGATTATTGGAACTGCAGCAACAGGAGCTTGCATTGGCACAAGAAGCAATGCTATGATATGTCTACCCATCAGGACCTCATACCGGAACCTCACAGCAGGACATCTAAGAGAACTGTATTAGAGGATCTCACAAGATCTTCATACAAGAACTTCCCATGAACATCCCAGAAGACCTTTTATATAAACACCAACGCAGAGCATCTGCAAGATCTGAATGCAAGGACCTCTTGAGATGATTTTTAAACGGGGTCTCCACAAGATCTTCTCACAAGGACCTGTACCAGATCATGCAAGGACCTCTTATCTACAAGAGCTTCTCAAGAGGAGTTGTAAAAGACCTTGACCAAGATCTTCATGCCAGGACCCCTAAGGGAATCCCACAAGATCGTCATAAAAGGTGCTGCTGCCGGAGCGCGATCTGACACGCGCAGGCACAAAGTGCCGAGAGGGTTGCGCGAGCGATATCAAAATTCGCACCGCGCCACAACGACAGCGATCCGACACGCACAAAGTGCCTAGGTTGCGCGACCGATGTTACAATTCGCACTGTGCCACAGCGAGAGCGATCCGATACACACACAAAGTGCCGAGAAGGTTGCGCGAGCTATATCAAAATTCCCACCGCGCCACAACGAGAGCAATCCGACACGCACAAGGTCAAGAGAGGGTTGCGCGAGCACACCTTGGATATTCACAAAACATGGCGCGCACCACAAAAAAAGAACATTACAAATGTTTTACTGAAGTCTCAGCAACTTTTTTGTCGAGGTCTACAAAATACTGCGCCTGCCATGAAAATGAGCCCGGGGCATCCGAAGTGCCGCATCTGCCACACGGAATCATCATCATGTCCAAAATCAAAAACAAATGATGAGAGTTTCACAAAAACGAGGCTTTCGACCCTCTCAAAACGTCGTCCAAGTTCACCAAATACTGTGCCTGCCACGCAAAATGACCTTCAAAACCACCTCTCATTTTGACGTTTTAGCAACGTGCCGAAAGTGCCACGCCTGCCACGCGGATGAAAAAGTGATCGGTGTCCTGCACCTGTCACGCAAAACGACATTCCAGACCTCAAAATGTCCCAGAAGTCCCACGCCTGCCACACGAAATGACATAGCTCAAAAAACGAGCACGGCGCGCTAGTAAAACGAGATCTTTGGAAACGAGCAAAACGGGAGGCTCACTTTGTGCGAGCCTTCGCAGTCGAAACGCACATCTCACACGGAACTTTTATGCGAATTTACAGCGAAATGGCCAGAGATCAGATGGAGCACCCTGATCCAACCCCGGCCCTTTAGCTCCTAAGAACCCCTCAGTGTGGACACATTGTTTGCGGCCACCATTTTGGGATCTTTAAAAGTAATCCCTTTTTTTGTTGGTTCAATCTCCCTTTTTCTTGGTGAAATTCGCATCTGTTCCTGATGAAATGCCCTTTGTTCTTGGTGAAATTCCAATTTTTGCTCTTGGTTAACTCCTCATTTTTTATAATTAAATCACATTTTTTGTTGATTAAGTTAAATTCCAAATTTTGGTGAAATTCCCATGTTTCACGCAGAAAGTTCGAAAGTTCTCAGCTTCGCCACGAGTTTTCGAAGCGTGTTCGCCTCTGAGATCTCTGGGCCATCGTTCAGAACGGTACTGGCACGTAGCTGCTGTGCGAAACTGATGGGCAACTGATGGCGATATTTTAAACTGATTGATTTATTTATCTATATTCATGTATGTGTTTATTGAAGAATTTATCTATTCATATACATATATGTATATGTATATATATGTACATATACATATACATATATATATATGTATATATATATGTATATATATGTACATATATATATATATATGTGTGTGTGTCTGTATATGTATATATGTATATATACATATATATGTGTGTGTGCTATATTTGTATGTGATATGAAGTTCAGTATATGATTATATAATCAACTAATGTTTACAACTTTGTATATATATATACATACATCCTTACATCTAGACAAATGCAATAAGCTACGTGGAAAGGTGTGGAAATCAAGGACTTGCGAAGCATGAGTCAACTGCAGATCGGGGTCCCACTCCATCGGTTTGTGTCTTGGAAAACAAAAAACTGAAACCAACTGGGAACAGAATCATCCCTTAAATGGTCAATGTGTAAAAAACGAATAAAAGGTCAGAGCTTCAACATCAACATACATCAACCAACCCATTTTGGGTCATAAAATCGAGGAAAATCCCAATGTTGGTGGTTGATTCCTCCCCTTTTGGCCGGTGAAACCGGCCTGGACAGGCACTTGTAGGCGGCCGTCCAGGGACTACAGGAGCTCATGGTGAACCACCTGGCCGGGGATGTCCTGTGCATGTGTGCATGTGTAGATGTCAGAAATATGTATACATCTATATATATATATATGTCATATGTATATCACATATTGTATGAATATATATATATATATAGAGAGAGATAGATAGATGGATGGATGGATGGATAGATAGATAGACAGATAGATAGACAAACAGACAAACAGACAAACAGACAAACAGACAAACAGACAACCAAATAGATAAATAGATAGTTAGATCGATAGTTAGATCGATAGATAGATCGATAGATAGATAGATAGATGGATAGATAGATGCATGTGTATATATATATGTATGTGTGTATTATACATATGTATATATTATATATATATTATATATACACACATATATGTATGTATATTCCATATATATATATATGTATTATATATATATGTGTATTTATTATATATAGGCATATGAATATGCATAAGAATATGTATATATATACTGTATACACATAATTGATTGACATTATATATATACATGTACACATTCCTTTGGATACAAGATGTACTGCTGAAAACAATGCACAAATATATATATATATATTATTATATATACATACGTGTGCATATGTCATATATCATATAACAGTATATATATATATATTGTGCATGAGACGGGCTAGCGGTCCGGCTGGCGGTTCCATATCATCTGGACTCTGCACCTGGTAAATCCTGGAAGAACACCCACATCCCCGAGCGGATGTGTAGGCATCGCTTGGGGTTGTGTCAAAGATTCAAACCCAACACGGGCATCCGGCATTATCTTCCCTCTTAAAATGACAATTTGGGCTATCTCCTCCATTTTGAGGCAAACTAGCATGGAATTACCATACAACATCAACCATGCTGTTGGCTTGCTGCCAGGGCACCCTTCGGTGCCATCAGTCAACGTTCTCCCTCTGCAGCGTTCTATTCCTTCCTGTCAACAACAGGCGACTTGTACTGAACTGTGGATGGGTCACAATTTTGGTGCCAATATCATTCCATACCCACCCGGTTTTGGGTTGATGGTTTTTTCAACCACTGCCAAATGGCTGAATCATAACTGACTTAAGTACACTTGGCATCTGTATCAGTAGTCCATGTCAACACTTTCCGTCCCCAGCCTTCTTTTCGGCCTTTGGTGCTTCAAGAGCCTGTGCCAGGCAGAAAACATGGTGCCAGCAGCCATGCAGATTAACATCTCCAGTGATCGCCAAACCACGCCGAAACGTCTCCTTTTTCCAGTCGCAATTTCTCATCTCACGGCGTGGGAAACACGGTCACTGGACCGAATCAGCCCGCGCACTTTCCACATGCTGCATTTGCTAAACAGGGTGCAAGACAACACGAAAGGTGGAATATGCAAAATTGCTGACGAGGCATAGCTCGTTCAGCTAACCATCACATCGAAAACGATAAAATGTGCTGAATCATGCATTCTCTCCGAAAGATGAAAACACTAAAATCCAGCCCATGAAGGATGGATTGATTTTTCATGATCTTTCCATGACCCAAGACACCCTTTGCATTGTCAATCTTTACTTTGGCACCCAGGGGACCCAGTATGGATTCCCATTGGATTCCCATCAGAAAGAGCGCGAGGCCGTCAGGGCGGTTGCCATCGTCTCCCCATCTGAATCGCTCTCCTGGCACAGGCACTTCAAAAAGCCTATGAGTCATGCCTTTGTTCTGGTTGGTCCGTAGGAATTTCCATTGGATTATGATATATTATGATATATTATCATTGGCCATTTCAGGAACCTACCTTTAGGGCTATGTAAGGGGATATACCCCCAAAATATATGGCCTTATATGGTACAACCCCTCATTTTAGGATCCTGGAATTCCCATTGATATTATGATAATCCCCAATTAATTTTGGGTAGTATAATCCCTTGTAACAATCTGTAATAATCAACCGATAGGAATTTAATGATTTTGAACACTGCTCAAATATATATATATACATTGATTGGGGCAAACCTCTCACGGATAGTTTCCCTATCGAAAAATATCAAGGTGCTGATTTGACATACCAACTACAGTATCATCATTTTCCTGTTGGTTGCAAAAAATTGGGTGACCCCTCTTTTTACGCAACCAACTAGTGGGAAAAGGATATCTGTGCCCCTTACAGCTGGAATTGTAGCCCTGGTTTTTTCTGCAATCATGATCATCAAACTACCAACAGTTCATCACATCTACAAGACCGTTAAACGGCATTCATCATGGCTATGAATATGTGCACATATACAATATATATACATATATATATATATATATGGTACCCCCCCCCAGAGATCTACCATTTTTGACCTACCTTTTTGAAATCTTGTGGTTTGGGATGATAATCGAGCGATTAATTGAAAGGGGTGACCATATATGTGTATATATATATACTTCTACATTCATTGAAGATCTTCAATAAGGATTTAATTCTCCCACCCCCGTTAAACTTCTACATTCATTGAAGATCTTCAATAAGGGTTTAATTCTCCCACCCCCGTTAAACTTCTACATTCATTGAAGATCTTTAATAAAGGTTTAATTCTCCCACCCCCGTTAAACTTCTACATTCATTGAAGATCTTCGATGAGGGTTGAATTCTCCCACCCCCGTTAAACTTCTACATTCATTGAAGATCTCCAATAAGGGTTTAATTCTCCCACCCCCGTTAGACTTCTACGTTCATTGAAGATCTTCAATAAGGGTTTAATTCTCCCACCCCGGTATACTTCTACATTCATTGAAGATCGTCAATAAGGGTTTGATGATGTTGATGTTGATGATGATGATTATGTTGATGATCATGATGTTGATGTTGTTGATGATGATTGTGTTGATGATCATGATGTTGATGTTGATGATGATGATGATGATGATGATGATGATGATGATGATGATGATGCGTCGCCCGTCGTCATTGCGGGTCCGGGCAAAACCCAGGCATTTGCCGTATATATATAATTATAGATATATAGATATATATAATATATTTAAATAAACACGTATACATATACACAGGCATATGCACTTCCCAAAAAATTGCAAACTTTCCTGGATTCAAGATTCAAAATTCAAGATTCTGGGGGAAACTTCTTGAATCCAGGCCTGGTCTTGGATTCAAGAAGTTTTTCCTAGAATCTTGAATCTTGAATCCCAAAAAAAATGCAAATTTTGCAAACTTTCCTGGATCCATAAACTTGGAACCTAATAGTATATCAAATGGAATATTAATGATTCTTACATGGTAAACTAAGTATAGATTGTATATTAAAGGTTTATTAAAGGCAAACTAAATGGTAAGTAAAAGGTATTTTAGAGGCATAGTGGTATTTTCAAGGTCAATTAAATGGTATATTAAATGTATATACCTTCAAGGTATATTAAAGGTGTAGTAAACATCATTTTTAATAATATATTAATGGTATATCAAATGGAATATTAACGACTCTTAAATGGTAAACTAAGTACAGATGGTACATTAAATGTTGATTAAGGACAAATTAAATGGAAAATAAAAGGTATTCTAGAGGTAGAGAGGTATCCTAAAGGTGCATTAAAGATTTTTTCATGGTCATAAAAAGTGTATATTTAGCGCAGATTAAATGGTATATTTAAGGTAGATTAAATGGTGTAGAGAAGTTTTATGCATTTAAGTAAGGTGCATTAAAGATGTCTTCATGGCCAATAAAATTGTATATTTAACGTAGATTAAATGGTATATTTAACGTAGATTGGATGGTATATTTAAGGTAGATTAAATGGTGTAGTGAAGTTTTATGCATTGAAGGTATATTTAATGTATACTAAAGGTATTTTCAAGGCCAATTAAATTGTATATTAAAGGTAGCTTCGTCGTTATCCAATGGAATGCTACAGGTATATTGAATGGTATATTAAAGCTTGTTTAGATTGTATTTAAAAAGGGATACTGAAGGTATGCCAAAGGTTTGCTAAAGGTTTATTAAAGATATGTTTATGGTCAATAAACTGGTATATTAAAGTATATGGAACCAATAATGAAGCTATATTCATTGTATATTAAAAAATGCTGATCAAGATATTATTCTTACTCTGTTGTATCAACAAGACAGACATATCCAACATGTTAGAATCTGGTGTTTTAAAAGAAATATTGTATGATTGAAGGAAGGCTTAATATTAGTCTGAAAGGAAGACTGCACTTCTTCAGAAAGTAAACACTGCATGTTTAGGGGAATGCCCCATTTTTTGTAGGGGTACTGTTTCTTGAACGAAGTCATAATTTGTTTGGAAGTAAAATTGCAGTTTATGAATGAAGGTGATTTTTTTCAAGCATGGAAAGGAACGCTGCAATTTAAAACAGATTGCTTCCTTCAAGAAATGATGTGCTTTCTGACCTGAGTATGTGCTCATCGTTTTTGAAAGTAATAGTGTGCTTACTTTGTTTTTGCAAAAGGTTCCCAACCCTCTTTGACATCAACAAAAAGCCAAAAATAGTAGATCTTTGGGGGGGAATAGCATATATATATAATTATATTATATTATACTATATTATATTATATTATATTATATATATTATATTATATTATATATATATTATATTATATTATATTATATTATATTATATTATATTATATATATATATTATATTATATTATATTATATTATATTATATATATTATATTATATTATATTATATTATATTATATTATATTATATTATATTATATATATATTATATTATATTATATTATATTATATTATATTATATATATATATTATATTATATATATTATATTATATTATATTATATTATATATATATATTATATTATATTAAATTATATTATATTATATTATATTATATATATATATTATATTATATTATATTATATTATATTATATTATATTATATATATATTATATTATATTATATTATATTATATTATATATATAAATTATATTATATATATATTATATTATTTTATATTATTTTATATTATATTATATTATATTATATTTATATTATATTATATTATATTATATATATTATATTATATTATATTATATTATATTATATTATATATATTATATTATATTATATTATATTATATTATATTATATATATATATTATATTATATTATATTATATTGTATATTATATTATATTATATTATATATATTATATTATAGTATATTATATTATATTATATTATATATATATTATTATTTTATATTATATTATATTATATTATATTACATTATATTATTTTATATTTATATTATATTATATTATATTATATATATATATTATATTATATTATATTATATTATATATATATATATTATATTATATTATATTATATTATATTTTATTTTATTATATTATATTATATCATATTATATATATATATATATATTATATTATATTATATTATATTATATTATATTATATATATATATATATTATATTATATTATATTATATTATATTATATTATATTATATTATATTATATATATATATTATATTATATATATATATTATATTTTATTATATTATATTATATATATATATATTATATTATATTATGTATATATTATATTATATTATATTATATTATATTATATTATATTATATATATATTATATTATATTATGTATATATTATATTATATTATATTATATTATATTATATTATATTATATTATATTATATATATATTATATTATATTATATTATATTATTTATATATATATTATATTATATTATATTATATTATATTATATTATATATATATTATATTATATATATATTATATATTATATATTATATTATATATATATATTATATTATATATATATTATATATTATATATTATATATTATATATTATATATTATATATTATATATATATTATATTATATATATATTATATATTATATATTATATTATATATATATATATTATATTATATATATATTATATATTATATATTATATATATATTATTATAATGTACAAATATCATTCAAAAAAAATCGTTCAATGCCATTCACCCCTCAGGATTCCTGGGTCACATCCGTTGGTCGCATCCGTCGCATCCCATCGTCTCCTCCGAGTCCGAGTCCCCACTGGACTCTTCGGCCACACTCGCCGAAGCTCCCATGGATCCTGCAGCAAGCCCGTTGACACGAAGAAGATTGGGCTTATAGTCATTTAAAGTCATATATATATATATAGTCATTCATTTATAGTCATTCATTTATAGTATAGTCACGTATAGTCATTTGGCAGTGTGTCAAAACCTTGTTTGTCCCCCCTGTAGTTCACATCATGGTAAATGGATGTGAATAACCCACTAAAAATGGTATTTTCATAGGTATTGATCCATAGCCACTTGAATATGGGTATGGAACCACTTAAATTGGGGAAATTACTGATCATTAACCAACTAAAATTTAATTTGCTGATATGTATGATTTCTATATGAATTATAACTGATCTAAGCCAAGCCTGATGATCAACAATTTGCAGTGGTTGCGGCAGCGGTTTGCAACCATGTTCTCCTGTTCTCCATGGTTTTTTGGGGCTCCCATTCCATTTGGGTCAGCTGCTACCGAGTGTCCCCAGCCCCATGGGCTTCTTCTCACCGAAGGTGCTGATGCACTGGCCGCATCAATGTCAGGTGTTGTCCCTGGCTTCCACTGCATGCTTGGAATGCCTTGGCCGCACCAGATTCCACTGCTCATCTTTTGATAACCCCAAAATGGTGCCATCAATGCTGAGAACCCCCCTCGTCTCCCGCATTTCCCTTGCCGAAGGGTCAAAATGTTCCGCAATAACACGGGGGTTTTGTCATTGTTAGCAGCAACACAACCAATTCCGTGGTCGAAAACGATAATATCAATAATAAGTATGATAATCAATAATACCAATAATTCAATGATAATCATAAATATCATAAGGACGATCATTCAATTTGAATACAAAATATACAAATGAAACCTTCTCGTCTCGGATTTAAATAACCGCCTTTTGCTGCTCAAAACCGTCCGGCCTCCGGCAAAGGCTGTTTGACCTAGAGGGCCAGTCTCACTTCGCTCAAGTTCC